TCTTCCAGGACGCTTTCCGTAACAGGAATCCTTTTGTGATTTGGAGCAGTCACAATTTTCTTTGCCCTGAAAGACCCGCTGAATCGGCAACTCGATTTTAGTTTTGTGAGCAAAATGTTTTTATCATAATAGACAGGACTTTGTTTCTGATGAAGACCCAAGAGAATGATTTCAGCTTTTCACCAGCATAGTCCGGTGTAAGAAAAAGCACATTCTGCTAATTTCAGTAGCAAGATTTCTTATGCAAAAATTAGTCTCTGCAGGTCATCACGAAGTATCTTGTATGACTTTATTTTGCACAAACAAACTCTTCAACATCTATAGCAGACCAAGAGATTACAGCTGTATCTTTAAATCGACTCTAACTTATTGCAATGTCTTTGAGCGAATCCAAGTGATGGATTTGGGCACCTTTTGCAAATTATTCTCGTGCCCGAGAAAGAGACAGAAATCGATTACATGAATGACGGATAATTGTTTCCCATATTTCAATATTAATCACGGCCAACTTTTGTGGAGTCAAATCTAATCCCAGCAAACAAATTCAGCATCCGAGAAACACTCGCACACAAATTGCTTTTTCTTTACCATTTAATCTCTGTGGGAAAAACGTTGTATCGGTCGTTCTGTGAAAATTGGTGCCAAGTGTTTCAAATCAAGGCCACCGAATTTTTTGCCGTGCCTTTAAAATAGCATCCCGGCTTGTAATAGTCCCGTTCAAATATTGAAAGCAATGTAAGCATTCGTCCCATTGAGTTATTTCAATCACTTTAAGAGTCAAGCTCGCGATTTGCTATAATTTGTTTCAGAGTTTCTAGTTATTTTGGGATAGTTAATTAAACAGAATGAATGCAGTCTTAGTAAATGAATGCAATTGTTCATAATAGCCAATTATGACAATGAATTTAAGATTCACGGCAGAATTCTTGCAAGGGCGTGAACCAGAATCTGAAACGGGTCTTTGCAATTTAAATAAAATCACAAGAACGCGATGACAATTTCTGGCAAAATATCATCCCAGTTTAACCACGATGTCATCTAACCTTCGTCTCCACACAAAAACTGCAATTCAATACAGGAATCCGAAAGCATTGCGGGAACGTATCTGGGCCTTCCCTGCCACTGAATGCAATGGATTTAAAACCGAATGCAACCAAACAACGCTAATGTCGTTCCGATCCAAGGGCACAGATTTGTGGCAATGTGCTAGTTAATTCCTGAGCACTATCGCAATTTAATTAAATAATAACCGTTGTGCAACTATTTTGGTTTCCTTAAAAAATAATTCAATGACTGTATTGAGCTCTTTTTTGAACCCTGTTAAAATCCTCGTGCTCACAACATCCCCTAGCGAGGAGTTCCACAGGTTGGCTGTGCGCTATGTGAAGAAAAACTTCAATTGATTTGTTTTTCACTTTCTCCACTTGATTTTCTAGACCTCTCTCCTAGCCCTGCTTAGTCTCCTCTTTTCTAAGCTGGCAAATGTGGTGTTTTTATTAGTTTTCTCCCTGTGATTGTTTGTCTGCAGTGATAGTGGACTTTTCTGCAAAGGAGTCACAGCCTGGACTGGGCCTCCTGTATCCATGCTCATTATTTTGGCTTCTGCTAGCTGACTCGGTCTGGGTAGCAATGCTTATTGCTTTTTCCAGTGTCAGTTGTGGTTCTAGAAGCCAGCGTTCTCTTACATCAGGGGTTCCCAACCTGGGGTACGCATACCCCCAGGGGGTACGAGAAGCTTGTCAAGGGGGCACGGGGAATACTTGGTAAATAACTAGATTATCCTAACCACAATATTCCAAAAGTAGTCGTGTGAGTGGAAAAAGTTGTGGATTTTAGTCTAGAATTTATTTCCTTTCCTATTGAATAGGGGGTACGGGAAGGTTTACTAAAAGCCGAGGAGGTACGGGGACCGAAAAAGGTTGGGAACCTGTCTGACATGAAGCATCGCTGTTTTCTCCATGAGCTGGTCTCTAATCAGCTCATCTGCCCTATTCCCAAAGTCCCAAGTTATCATCAAGCTCCTCAGAGAAGCATAGACTGCATTACAGTCTCCCCGGGTTTCTGCTCACGCTGTAGCCACGACTGCAGCCTGTTTCAAAGACATTTTCACACCAGACTTGAAAGGGAAACCTCTGAACTGTCATGCAGGCTTAAATGTGACACTTTTCGCCTGGGTCTCAACAGAGATGCTAATTACCTTACCCATTACAAAGACAGCTTCCCCAATTATCACCTCCAATATCATTAGCTCACAGATATTAACCTCCCCCCCTCGTCCCCCCTCTGTTCTGAAATTTGATTTGTCCTTTTTATGTGTGTTCACTTTTTTTTGATTGTATCCCTTTGGTATATATGGTCAGGCCAATTTTCTTCCACAAATTGATCTGAGGAAGTGGGTCTGGCCCATGAAAGCTCATCACCTAATGAACCATCTTGCTAGTCTTTAAAGTGCCGCATCGTCCTGTCTTTTGTTTCAGCTACACCAGACTAACACGCGGGGCCGCATTATGACTTTCGTGGGCCCCTTCCTCCATTAAAAAAAATATTAACAATGATTTTTGATATAACTTTAAATACTTCAACATTTTCTTTGTTTCTGTTTTAGGCAAAATGTAATCGATTTTCGTGGGCCCTAAAAGTTTCATTTTTTTCTGATGTGAGAAAACAATGAAAACATTTTCTTCGCCCCTAAAAGTTCATTTTTCTTCTTCTGATTTTAAAAGAAATCAAACATTTTCGTGGGCCCCTAAAAGTATGGTGGGTCCTAGGCACTGTGCCTGCTGTGCCTAATGGATAAGTCGGCCCTGCCAACACGCCTACATCGCTATTCAAGTTCTTTAATGCAGTGAGTGTAGCTTCCTAGTTATCATCTGCGAGGGGAAAAGTGTAAGATACACGCTGCCCTTCTTCCGGCCTGTTCCCGGTTTCCTGGGCTTCCAACAGCCAGCGCCCCCAGGTCTAATCAATACAAGCAGCATCTAAAACATCTCCAGCCCTTTCAAACCCAGGCGCTACACAACCCCCCGTGTAACTCTGAGCCGGAGCAAATGCCCGCCACGGATTTCCAGGGCAGCCGGGTCTCCTCCGCCCATGGTCCTTGGAAATAGGGGCAGATACTAAAAGGAGGCCGGTTCCGGGCGTGACAGTAGGCCCAGCGATCTCTTCATGCCCGGGGGACATTTGCTGCCTGCGGCCACGTGCACAGGCCACGACACAACCAGGAGGGGAGGCCCGAACCCCAGAAGGAGAAGCTGGAGCTACAGAAGGGAACAGGGTCTGATAGATAGATAGAGAGGGAGGTGGGGAGAGACAGAGAGAGAGTGTGTGTGGAGATAGCTAGATAGATAGATAGAGGGGGTGTGTGAGGATGGATAGATAGATAGATAGATAGATAGAGGGGGTGGGTGGGGATAGATAGATAGATAGATAGATAGAGGGGGTGGGTGGGGATAGATAGATAGATAGATAGATAGAGGGGGTGGGTGGGGATAGATAGATAGATAGATAGATAGAGGGGGTGGGTGGGGATAGATAGATAGATAGATAGATAGAGGGGGTGGGTGGGGATAGATAGATAGATAGATAGATAGAGGGGGTGGGTGGGGATAGATAGATAGATAGATAGATAGAGGGGGTGGGTGGGGATAGATAGATAGATAGATAGATAGAGGGGGTGGGTGGGGATAGATAGATAGATAGATAGATAGAGGGGGTGGGTGGGGATAGATAGATAGATAGATAGATAGAGGGGGTGGGTGGGGATAGATAGATAGATAGATAGATAGAGGGGGTGGGTGGGGATAGATAGATAGATAGATAGATAGAGGGGGTGGGTGGGGATAGATAGATAGATAGATAGATAGAGGGGGTGGGTGGGGATAGATAGATAGATAGATAGATAGAGGGGGTGGGTGGGGATAGATAGATAGATAGATAGATAGAGGGGGTGGGTGGGGATAGATAGATAGATAGATAGATAGAGGGGGTGGGTGGGGATAGATAGATAGATAGATAGATAGAGGGGGTGGGTGGGGATAGATAGATAGATAGATAGATAGAGGGGGTGGGTGGGGATAGATAGATAGATAGATAGATAGAGGGGGTGGGTGGGGATAGATAGATAGATAGATAGATAGAGGGGGTGGGTGGGGATAGATAGATAGATAGATAGATAGAGGGGGTGGGTGGGGATAGATAGATAGATAGATAGATAGAGGGGGTGGGTGGGGATAGATAGATAGATAGATAGATAGAGGGGGTGGGTGGGGATAGATAGATAGATAGATAGATAGAGGGGGTGGGTGGGGATAGATAGATAGATAGATAGATAGAGGGGGTGGGTGGGGATAGATAGATAGATAGATAGATAGAGGGGGTGGGTGGGGATAGATAGATAGATAGATAGATAGAGGGGGTGGGTGGGGATAGATAGATAGATAGATAGATAGAGGGGGTGGGTGGGGATAGATAGATAGATAGATAGATAGAGGGGGTGTGTGAGGATAGATAGATAGAGGGGGTGTGGGGCGATAGATAGATCGATAGAGGTGCTGTCTGGGGATGGACGGAGGGACGATGGAGCCAGTTTGGGGGACAGACGGACCAGTGGATGCCGGGGGGAGGGCAGGCTGCTGACTGTTGTAGGGCACAAGGTGGGAATCAGACTTGTCTGCTCTGGGCACAGAGGGCGTTTCTCATGCCTTGAGGGTGAGCAGCCCATGTTTCTGCATCCCTCGCCCTAGGGTCTGTCATGGAGGCCATGCTCGGGCCCACCCTTATGCTGGGACGTGGCATGCTGCTGGGGGCACCGTGCGGCCAGAAGAGAGGGATTTCGTTGGGTCCCAGATACTAATGCAGCCAGCTCCCCATTGGCCTTCCCCTCACCCTGAGGCTGGTCTGTGGCCAAAGACATGGTGGGAGGGCCGGAGTCATGGCTGGCTCAGGGGGGGAAGGAATGGGGCACAGGATCTGTTCCCTCACTGACATCCCCTCTCCGGCAGGTTCCAGGCGGCAGGCGGCTACATCTTGTCCCCACAGATTGGTGACCGGCTGGATTTGATCTGCCCGCGCTCCCGCCCACCTGGCCCCTTCTCCACAGATGAGTATGAGTTCTACAAGCTGTACCTGGTGCCAGTGGAGCAGGCGCGGGCCTGCGAGATCCTCCGCATTCCCAACCTGCTGCTGACGTGTGACCGTCCTGAGCATGATGTGCGTTTCACCATTAAGTTCCAGGAGTACAGCCCCAATCTTTGGGGACACGAATTCAAGAGCAATCAAGAATATTACATCATCAGTGAGTACTCAGATGCCTGGGATCTTGCTTGCTGGGAGGAGAGCGGGGACTAGTGGTTAGAGCAGGAGGGCTGGGAGCCAGGACTCCTGGGTTCTCCCTGGCTCTGGGAGGGGGGTGTGGGGCCAGCTGGAGAAAGAACACAGCAGAGCTCCCAACCCCTCGCTCCTC